ATTGTGAGGGATACACTCAGCTATCCGCCGTTACAGAGTTTATGAACATAAAAGCCGAATACAGTCTCCCTGAAACTTGCATGAATAGAGTCTTGCAGTCAGTAGGAGGGATGCTACCGCGTGATCATACCCTTCCCAATTCATATTACCACATGAAGCAGTTAATGTCTAAGTTGGGGCTACCTTGTGTCGAAATTGATGCGTTCCCGGAAGGATGTATGTTGTTCTGGAAGGAGGATGGGGCACTTGAGTTCTGCAAGTTCTGTGGTGGAGACAGATACAAACCTATTCCTCAAAGTAAAAAGAAACCACGACATAGGTCGGCACTGTCTAAACTGTATTACCTCCCAATAGCTCCTCGACTGCAGAGGATGTACGCTTCGACTGCTACTGTGAAACACATGACATGGCATGTTGAGCACGAAACCAATGAGGGTATGATGGCTCACCCTTCGGACTGTGAATCCTGGAGACACTTTGACCGTTGTCATCCTCAGTTTGCTATGGAGCCATGAAATGTGCGGCTGGGATTGTGCTCAGACGGATTTGCTCCTTTTGGCAGGTTTGGGAAGAACTATTCATGTTGGCCGGTCATGTTAACTCCTTACAATCTCCCTCCCGACATGTGCATGAAAAGTCATTTCATCTTTTTGTCTTTAATTTTTCTGGGTTCCAAGGATCCTGGAAGAAAGATAGACATTTATCTTCAACCCCTTATCGAGGAGATGAAAGAATTGTGGGCCGTTAGGACACGAACTTATGATGTTTCATCAGATCAGGTGTTTATCATGAAAGCTGCCATCATTTGGACCATTAGCGACTTCCCTGCCTATGGCATGCTTTCTGGATGGAGCACACACGGTCTGATGGGATGTCCGATATGCATGGAGAAATCAGGTGCGAACTGGCTCAGTTACAGTAAAAAAGGAAGTTACTTTGATTGTCACCGCAAGTTTCTCCCGGAAAAGCACCAATATCGAAAGGACAAGAAGTCTTTCATTAGAGGTAGAGCGGTACGAGAGAGCGCACCCCCGAGATTGACCGGCGAAGAAATTTATAACCAGGTTCGACGTCTTCCTACGGCTATGGAAGAGCCAAACCAGGAACCACATGGGTTTTGTCATACCCATAAGTGGACAAAGAGGAGCATATTCTGGGAGTTGCCATATTGGAAAGACCTTCTCATCCGTCACAATTTAGATGTCATGCACACTGAGAAGAACATGTTTGACAATATATTTAACACGGTGATGGATTTCAAAGGCAAAACTAAAGACTGTCTTGCAGCTAGGAAAGATATGACTATATGGTGTGATAGACCCGAACTTTTTGTTGATCTAGAATATCAGGGCAAGGAAGTTCCAAAAGCAGTCTACCAGTTGACAGAAGCACAAAAGGAAGCAATATTACAATGGCTTGTGTCTCTAAAGTTTCCAGATGGCTACTGCTCCAACTTGTCTAGATGCGTGGACATGCACAAACTTACCACGACGGCGAGCATGAAAACTCACGATGCTCATGTAATCATGCAAAGACTTCTACCAATTGCACTGAAAGAGATGTTCCCTGAACACGTATGCTCCCTGAAGCACGGCGAGGATTCGGAAACCGATCTGCCACCCCGCCTCGCTGAACTTTAAGTATGTAACATCTTATTTTGTTATTTAGTAACATTTCAAGTCCAAGTATGTAGCATTTCAATATATTTTTAAATGCAGACGAAGTACAACGAAACTGTTGAGAGCAAGCGTGCGGAGCGAGGCTTGACCCAGGAGGACGAGCTCGATTCCGATGTGGATGATGAGGCGATCATTGAGGCGGCCGGGGTTTACAAGGGTCGGGTTCCGTGCCTGGGGGCCGAGGGGCAATGGATGTTGTATGATCGAAGCACCGGCGCTTCCTCTTCTCGATCAAGGCGGGGAGAAGATCCTCGTATTGCCCAAATGCAGCGTGAACTGGAGGAGCACGAATGGCGATGGGAGGAGCAGCGGAAAAAAGAGGAAGAAACAAAAGCCCGGCTTGAGGAGATTGAACGGTTCATGCGTGCCGGATTCCAGCCTCCGCACCAGCCTTTTCCTCACCCGTACGTATTGCACCCTGAGCAGACTCCTCAAGTTCCGCACATGGGCGGTATGGGTTTTTTCTCTAACCCCGGATACGGTGGCACGCCTACGATGGGTCCGAATTTCGGATCTATGTCCTTTGATTTTTTGAGGTCATCCGGAGGAGGCAGTGGTACAACAAGCCATGGACCCCGAGGAGGCAGTGGAGGAGGTAGCCGAGCTTAGGAGGAACCCGACCCGACGACCCCGTGCAGCAGTCCGAAGACCCCCCCATGGACCCACAGGATTTTCTTGTTGATGATGATGATGAACAATATGATAATGAAGATAATACTAATTTTTATCATAATGGAGTCCGACGATGAACGGGCATGTAATCATACATTTATAAGTTTATCATTTCATATTACATTTATAAGTTTGTCATAATTTTTATTAAGTTTGTTGTATGTGTTTTTTTAATGTTTTGATTGCTTTACTGTTTAAAATGTATTTTTTTCATTAACATATTTTCAATAAAGAAAATATAATCCGTAAAAACATTTTTTTTAAAAGAGAAAAACTTAAAAAAAAAAAACAAAAAGCTTAGTCACGGCCCTAATCCGTGACTAAGGTTAGTCCGGAATTAATTTTTTTCTTTAAAAAAAAATATAGTCACGGATTAATGTCCGCGACTACTTCAAAATTTCAAAAATAGAAAATCAGAACCGCGGTCTTTTGAAAATTTTGAAAATTTGAAAACTTAGTCACGGCTGAGTCCGTGACTAAGATGGCGGAATTTTAAAAAACCGGATTATATTGGTCACGGATTAGACCGTGACTAATATATAAAAATACAATAGTCACGACTATGGACCGTGACTAACACGTCGGAGAAGGTTTTCCGGCGTATTATTAGTCACGGCTATGGTCCGTGACTAACCCGTGACTACATTTAGTCACGGTCACTGTTCTAAAAGTCGCTCTAGGCGTCCGACTATTCCCCGCCTAGGCGCTAGGCGGTGGTCGGGCGCCCCGATATATGTCTAGGCGCTCCGACTAATTGGTTTGACGCCTAGGTGAATTAGTCGGCCGCCTATGGCGCCTAGTTGCCCGCCCAAAGCGCCTAATCTCCGCCTAGGGCATCTAGATTCATCAAACAATTTTTTATTTTTAATTTTCTTTTTGTAAGAGATATATGTATCTTTAACTTTAATCACGAATATGAGAAAAGATACTTGTAAAGTAAGATAAAAACTATATATGTTTGTATATATACTTAAATTTTATTATTATTTAATAATTATAACATAATGTAGTTAAATGATTAGTTATTATATATTATTGCATGTGATAATTCAATCATTCATGCATGTTAATGTGTGTATATATTTTTCATACATACACAAACATGATACTACCATTTTATTATGTATTACTTATCATATTTATGCAAAAATATTAATAAAAATACAATTTATGTGCCTCCGATTAGTCCCCGCCTAGGCGCCCGCCTAGGCGCTAGGCGCTGGGCTGGCACCCGACTAGCGCCTAGCGCCTTTTAGAACCTTGTTCACGGTTAATGTGGCGGTGACTGCATTTAGTCACACCCATTAAGTCACGGATTTAGTCACGGCTAGTGACCGTGACTACCTCTGTTAGTCACGGAAAATTTGAACTGTGGTCCGTGACTAAATTCGTGACTACGCGCGTGTTTTTTTGGAGTGTTGAAAAATTCAAATAATTTTATGGAGTACCGAGTACGCACTATGTATATAGTATTCCCAATTCTTTCTAAAAAAGTAGTATTCCCAATTATAAATGTGTACTATCATCAATTTTTGTTGGTGTACACAAAAAATGCAATTAGTCTTGATAACCTACCCGGTGTACAAGTACAAGTGTACAACCAAGAATGGTTCTCCCCTATGAAGCATGCATACTTCACTAGGGTACTGTATCGGTATATCGGAAACATTCCCGTATATGATAATCTAGAATACCCGTACCGTACGTTCACGGGTTGTATCTGCAATTTTTAAAAGTTTTTCATTTTTTTGTAATTATTTTAAAATTTCGGATACTCGTATCCTAACGGATACGCGTATCAACTTTTAAAAATAAAAAAAATATTCCAGAAAAAACTTAAAAATAACACTCAAAATTTACGTAATACGTAGTAGAATTCTTAAAAAATGAAAAGCTAAAAATTATTTTTACCTTTCTTTTATGTGGTACACAATTAATGGGCCTACTCCTAATTCTCCCATCCTCATATCCCTAATTCTAATTATCCCTGAAAATTAATAACTCCGTCGGAAATATGTATTAGAATTTTTAAAATATTGTTTTCTATCTTCATTATTCTAGAACTTTGAGTACTTGCACTTATAATTTCAAAAATGTAGTTGTTTGACTTATTTCTCATTTTAAATTAATGACTTATTGACTATATTTATATTTCGAGGTGTACTAATGTTTAAGAGATAAAATATGAACTTATTTCTAAGTATATTGAAAATGTAAAATGTTCCAATGTCATGAATGAGTAGACGTAAAAGGATAATATATGTATAGTTTTTCAAAAATAAAAATATTTTTAATATTTATAAATACACCCTTGTTACTTTTAATATTTATAAATACACCTACGTAACTTTTAATATCCATAAATATGACCCGTATTTTTTTTTGAAAACAAATATGACCCGTATTTGTATCTGCTTTTGTCTTATCACATACTTCCTCCGTTCTTAAATAAATGCAACGGTCAACATTTCACACTTGCCGAGACACGACTTTGACCATTAATATAAATGATTTTGTATTAGTAAAAAAATTAAAAAAAAAATAGATTATGAAAATTTACAATGAGACAAGTTTAACAATATTTTTTTCATAAAAGAATATTATTACATTAATAAATAAAACTTAGTCAAAGTAGAACATGTGAATAGTGTAAAAGTCAAAGTGTTGCATTTATTTAAGAACGGAGGTAGTATCACAGTACCCGTTTCCGCTACATAGGTTCTCCCACCAAAGGCCAACAGTGAAGGAACACCGGAAGAAGATGGCCATGTTCTTTATCATGTTGTTTGACAACCTTACCAGTGTCACCTTGATATGCGGTGATAAGCTTTAGGGGTCGACATTGCTCATCCAAAAACTGAGGGCGTAAATCATCCGAACGAAATACTTCGGTCTAAAAAATGCTGTTAAGGGAAAAAGAACCGACCACGATTGTTTTGCTTGACATGGAACCAGCCGGAGAGAAGAGCTAGTCGGAGATGGAGCTAGTCAATGAGTGTGACCAAATCCAATGAGTCGGCAGATAGCGGAGCTAGTCAGAGATGGACTCTACAAAGACGCGCTCGCAGTCTACTCACAGCTCAACCATTCATCCCTTCGCAACGGATTCACCTTCCCCGCTCTTCTCAAAGCCTGCGTCAAGATTGGAGACTTTCCTCAATCCCAAATGCTCCAAACCCACATTTTAAAGTCTGGGTTTCAATCCGATACCCATACCGCCACATCCCTCACCCATCTGTACACTAAAGCCAGGAGCTTTGATTGCGCATTCAAGGTGTTTGACGAAATTCCTCAGCCAACCATCGATTGTATGAACGGCTTCCTTTCTGGGATTTCTCAAAACGGGTATCATCAAGAGTCCTTTAGGATGTTTGGTTTGCTTGATTCTTGGAATCTCCGGCCGGATTCTGTCACCATAGCCGGGGTGCTGTCTGGCTGTGAGGATGCTAAGCTTGGCGCACAAATGCATAGCTGGGCTGTAAAGATAGGGGTTGAGATGTCTGTGTATGTCGGGACGTCTATTCTCACCATGTATTCCAATTCTGGTGATATAGTTTCAGCCACAAGGGTGTTTGGGCTGGTTGAGAACAAAAACGTGGTGTGCTACAATGCATATATGACTGGGTTATTGCATAATGGGGTGTATGGGGGTGTCTTGTCTGTTTTTAAGGACATGATTGCATCATCAGATGAAGGAACCAATTCTGTTACAATAGTTTCTGCTCTTTCATCCTGTGCAGAACTCAATAATCTGAATGTCGGCCTGCAAATCCACGGGTCTGCTGTAAAAATTGAGACACATTGTACTACTAATAAAACCATGGTCTCCACCGCTTTAGTGGATATGTATTCCAAATGTGGTACTTGGAAATGTGCATTTTCTGTGTTTGAGGAACTTCATATTACCAAAAGGAGTTTGATCACTTGGAATGCTATGATTGGAGGAATGATGCTCAACGGCCAAATCGAGAAATCAATCGAACTATTTGAACAGTTGGAGACTAACGGGCTAAAGCCCGATTCATCAACGTGGAACACAATGATAATTGGGTTTTCACGTCATGACAAAGGCGATAATAAAGCTTTTAATTTCTTCAGAAAAATGGTGTCTTCTGGTGTGAAGCCAAATGAGAAATCATTGACCAGTCTCTTGACAGTCTGTTCTGCACTCTGTCTTCTACACTCCGGGAAGCAAATCCATGGATATTCCATACGGACAGGTTGCAGTAGTGACCTATTCCTCGCAACGGGTGTGATCGATTTGTATATGAAATGTGGGAAAGTCTCAATGGGTGAAAGTATTTTTGAGGAGATTGAAAACAAGAACTATGATGCGACTCTATGGAATGTTATGATCTCTGGCTATGGAATAAATAACAAAAATGAAGCTGCTTTTGAAATGTTCGACCGGATGTTACAGGAGAAAGTAAACCCAAGCAGGGCAACTTTCAATTGCATTTTATCTGTGTGCAGTCATTCCGGTCAAACGGTCAAAGGGTGGCAAATCCTTAAACTGATGATTGCTGATTTTGGGTTGACCCCAAGTCTCAAGCAACTTAACATACTGGTTGATCTTCTTGCTCGATCTGGAAAACTGGATGACGCAAGAGAACTTCTTCAGAAAATACCAAAGCCTTCTGCACCGGTTGTTGCTTCGGTTCTCGGGGCTTCCGAGTGTTATTCAAATCTGAGTCTTGGTGAAGAAATGGGTAGGAAGCTCTTAGAGTTGGAGCCAGACAGTCCTATTCCGTTGGTCATCTTGTCCAACCTATATGCTAGTTTAGGGAAGTGGAATGAAGTTGAAACAATCAGACGGATAATAGATGAAAAAGGACTAAAGAAACTGGCTGGCTATAGCTCGATCGACATTGCCTAAAAATATGAAATTCTAAAATGTACATAAATTGACTGGATCAACAGTAGGAAAGACCATTCTGCAGCCGTGCACCCAAGGTGGAAAAATTGAAAGTTGGAGAGCAGAATTGATTTTTTTAATGGAAAGTGACAATGGTGCTATTGCCTATTGGGCTCAAGTCAGGCTTAAAAACTCTATGGTTTTGAATTTGGGCCTGGTGTCAGATCAGGTATCTTATTCAAAGCCCAAAAGGATCATACACTGTCCATTTACTTGTCTTTCTGCCTCAGTCAATTGTAGTACAACAAGATTGGCTACGATGTGCTGTAGTACAAATGTACAATATTGTACTTTTATTATAAGCCAAGTTGTACAAGTATAATGTACAATATCCTTATTTTTTGTACTGAAGTTATAGACTTGTTGTAGTACAGAAACTTAAGATAAGCATTGCCTCTCTTGGAACCTATATAACAGATAGATGCACACATAACTTGGAGTAGTACTTGTGTAGCTAAGTTTCTGGTTGCCTTTTGTATTAATGTGGAATGGTTCAACAGGGTCGGCATGAGAACACATGCATTTGAGAAGTGGTCATTGAATTTAATCGATGCCATCGCATTTGTATCGTCGAGCATGTGTTCTCAGGTCGCCCCTGTAGAACTATATTTTACTATGCTATTTTGACCGCTTCTGTCGTCCTTGACGTTCCTATCTCCCCACCATACCCACCATATATGACACAGGATCCTGCCAATCTATTTATCTTTTATACCAAATGCCTTACTATTTTGTTGATTTTTCCCAAGTTGATTTTGCTGCAATATAAGTATGTTCTAGCCATTTAATGTCTTTTGAATTGTGTATAATAATTACAAAGCAAGAGATAAGATATAATGCTGCGGAAAGAATAAGAAAAAGATTTTAAAAAGTCATTTATGCTATTTAATTGATACGGAGTACTAAAATGAAAAAACGATGGTTTCTACGGAGTAATTTTTAAGTTTTCTTTTAACTTCTGTAGTCGATGTTTAAAACTTCGTGCTGATTAGGCATGGACCCGGTTCGGGCCGCCCGGCCCGGGACCGGCCCGGCCCGCCACTGTGCAAGCCCGGAACCGGCCCGGTTCTCGGGTCCGGGTCCGGGTCGGGCCTAGGCCTGGTGGGGTGGGCGGGTCCGGGCTCGGGCCTTGTATTTGGCGAACCGGCCGGGCCCGGGCCGAAATGATTTTTTTTTAATTTTTTTTTGGGAATTTGTCACAAACAGACTAAAAACGGAAAATAATATCACTTTTTTCAATTTTCTAAACTCCTTTCAAAAATAAACTAGCTAAACTTTTCCTTTCAAAAGTAGACATGTACGTAGTAACGTAGAATCAACCTACTGGAATTATACGACAAAGATGCATGCGTGGCAGACCGGCAGTTAGCTTCTCTATTTACCCCGCTTTGTACAAACTCCAGCACTTACTCATTCATATATTTAAATAGAAAAATGTATAATAAAATAATTAAAAATGAGATCAAATTCAACAGTAATAAAAAAATCAAATTAAGAAATCAAATATTTCATATAGAAAATCAAGATTGGAAATTTCTAAATTAAATTAAAAATAAGAATTTAAATTTAAAAATTAAATCACAAAAATGTTAAGAAGTGTATAGAAAAATTGGAAGTACAAAACTCAAAAGTTATAATGAGAAAGGGTTAAAATAGTTTTTAAAGTGGAAAATTTGTAGAAGAATTTTATCTTTCTTGTAATTTAGTTTTTAGAAGAATTCATACAATCAATCCTTAATTTGTATAAAGAGTACGTATAAAAAATACGATTTTTTAATAAAATTAATCGAATACAAAATGAAAACATGTAATACAAAGTAAAAACATTAAATTCAGTAAATAATAAATTGGACAAAATTTTAAAAATTAAATTAATTCTATAAAATAAAATAGATTTTTTTAAAAAAATATATAAAGTAGAAATTTAATTAAACTAAAAAAGCATGAAAAATATAAAATTCAAAAATAAAAAATAAAAATAAAATTATAAAGAAAATTAAACATTGACACAATTGATTTTTTTAAGAACGTGAATCTTGCAATTAATGTTTTATAAATAGTTACAAAATTGTAAGGATACTTTTTGAATTTAACAATACTTACTTTATAATTATGCCGTTTATTTTTGTTTCTTATTGTTTCTTTTTGTTGATAATTCTTATTTTTTTTGTTTTTTATTGTTTCTTAGAGTTTGTTTATGTTCATAAATCCAAATTTATCGTTTTAGGTAGTTGAATGTAAATCAATGTATGGTTTTTTACTTCAATGAAGTAACAAAGATGAATAAAAACCTAAATAAACAACACAAAACAAGATCAACAATAAAAAAAATGTAACACATACAATGCAACAAAAGCTACCACAATGCAACAAAAAGCAACACAATACAACAAAAAACAACACGATGCAACAAAAAGCAACAAGATGCAACAAAAAGCAACAGGATGCAACAAAAAGCAACATGATGCAACAAAAAACATGATGCAACAAAATACAACATGATGAAACAAAATGGAACACACTACAATTAACATCATGAATATAATTCAACACATAAGTGTTCGATAAATATATATACCTCAACTTACAGAGTATTTGTCTAACATTTATGATCAAAATTGTAATTACAATTTATACTAAAGTACTAGAAACTTTTGAAGTCCACCAATAACAATGTGATTCCACCATCCCAAACTCCCACACCCATTGTCTTAACAGCCTGCTGTTGCAACACCTGATCAAAGTGATGAAAATGATGCCTGCTAAGAAGGTCATGCAGTGCGTTGTATCACAAAATAAGGTCACAATTGATTCGATGAGCCTGCTAACAAAATGAGAAGAAAGACACTAAAAACAAAACATAGATTAGTACTGATTCAAAAAAGTCATTGATGAGCCTACTATTTATAGTTATAAGCACTAGTTATAAGCACCTTACAAAAAGATTGAAGAGAGTATGATAATCAATAATTAAAAAATATGTACAAAAGGCATAAAAAAACACATACAATATATAAAAGTATTCAATTTATTCAGGTGAAGGAAATATTAATTATCATCAAGGTTGGACCAATCCTATTGAGTAGCCCATACGATAATACTCCTACACTACGATATCTTCTCAGTTTCTTCAAAATCCGTTTAACAAAAAAATGATTCTTTTTTTATTATTGCTTTTAACACCTGCTTCTGCACCGTATGTTGAGAGTCATGTGATTTACTAGAAGCCTTACCAATCTTGTCGGCTTAAGTGATAAATCCACTCGCCAGAGCCAAGGAGTGAGGAGGATGAATCTAATGGACACATTCACATTAGTACGGATATAGAAAAATAAAACTTCCTAGATAAGCATATTTAATTTAATTTACTAAAATCACAATCTATTTGAACAATAGATGCAAATAAAAGCTGATTTAAGGAACCTGTGAAAGTTGGGCATGAAAAACACAACAAGTAATTAAGGTTCAAGGGAAACACCAAAACTTCTCATACCTGGAAGTGTATGCATATAATAACTACATAAACAACAACTAGGGATAACAAACTCTTAAATTAAAATGTATACAACAATAAATGGAGGAGCCAAGTATCTGCATATTAATTTAACATATTAATCTGATTCGATCAGTTAAAAAGTTACATAATCAATAAAGACACACTTGAATTTAACTTTTTTCCAAGAGTACACAATATATATAACTGGTGGAATTTATTAGCCATCCAAAGTTCAGAGACTCGTTAGCTACAATAGTACATACAAGTTCAGGCATCATGATCTTACCATCCATACCAATAGTACATACAAGTTCAGGAATCATGATCATGACCATCCATACCTGCTGACTTAGAAGTTAGAACTTAATGAGACACACATTTAATTAAATAATTAATTAATAGAATAAGTTCAATCAGCAGTGTTCCTGTTTTACACATTGTGACACATGAAAACCGCTACAGTCTGCTTCATCCTCTACAGACACACTTGAATTTAACATATGCTCACAACGAATCACTGCTTCCACATCCTCATTGCAGAATTTAACATTTGAAAAACCAATTAAATAATTGATTAGTGATACCTCTCAGGACTTGGAATGGAAAATATAATGTTTTATCACTTGAGATATACTATCAAAATGGAACTCTCTGGAGCAGAGAGCAGCATTCTTAAAGTCACAAACTCCTTAAGTGTGAATAAGGTGTTTGTTTAACCTTTGGTGTTATTTTCCTGGCTCAATAATTTTTCTGTTCTTATTATTTTTTGGGTAACCTTATGATGAGTCTCAAACTTATTCAGTTTTGTTTTAGTCTGCTGCAAAAAGAAGTTTAATAACAATGAATAAACTTCAATTCGTAGCTAAATATGCAAGATGAAGATGTTAAATAATTAAAAAAAAAAGTTGAAAAGGTGAGGTTTCTGATGCCAGACCTGAACATCACCGTGGCTCTAATGACTGAATATCACGATCCTGGTTGGAACAGTCTCTTCCTGAGAAATCTGAGCGGCTAATTAATTCATCTTTTCTTCCCTTGAGCAAGTCTGTTTCTACCTCACTATCTCCTCCATCTATGTATTAATCAGAGAACTATGGTTGCTGCTGACGGCTAATACTCTGCAATTAAATCCTTCAAGCATACACTATGGACACCTACATAAAAAAAATCATCTCTGCTTTAGTGTGGTGCAGGAGAATGTTGTGTGTCTATTTTATTGAATACGGGAATGAGAGAATTTACTAGAGAAGATCTTGAGAAGATACTTTAGTAGATGCCAGTGAAGCCACTTCTATCGATGACTGGTGGAGAAGAACGGGATGAATTCCACCACCTGTGAGAGTTGGACGACTGAGAAGAACGGAACAACAATTGACTAAAGGGACGAAGGTTAATTCTATTTGTCATCGGAAATGCTCTCGCCTGGACGCAAGAGGAAGATCCACCAGATCGATCTCTTTACTGCCCGACTACACTGGAATAAGGAATCCAAACTCAGCTCCATTGACGATTAGAAGTGAGTAACGCCGATCTCCATGCCTCCGTCGGCTCTGCGAGATTATTCCACGATCAACGAGATATGCCGAGAATCTCTCTTCCGTCGCTCAAATATTCATCGACTTATGTGTGGACTGTGACCACGGAGGAGGTAGGCAAAATCTATCTAGAAGTGAAATATTAAAACAAAATTGAAAACCAAAAAGTTTAAAAGTGAAAAGAGAAAATTGTGAAGACATAAATGATATCAGGTGCATAAAGGTGGACTGCACGGGTAATTACCACTTTTTTTTTCTTTTTTTGGGGTTAGCCAAGTTGGGCTTGATGGTTAGGAGGGGTTTGGGGGTGTGGGGGTGAGTGGGGGGGTTAGGAAAGCAAAAAAAAAAAAAAAAATTATAACCGAACTGGAGGCCCGGCCCGGCCCGGACCCGGACCGGACCCGGTGGCTACCCAGGCCGGTCCCGGGCCTTCCTTCCCAAAAAAAAAGCCCGGCCGGGCCCGGCCCGGAACCGGAACCGGCCCGGCCCGGGTCCATGACTAGTGCTGATTGTGCAAAAACTTTATAACTTTCTATTATAGCACTAGAATAATTCATTATAGACCTTGCTATCATATACGGAGTAAATGTTAATAATATTAAAAATACACATTAAGATCGTAAAAGTCAAAATAGAAACTACTCCCTCCGGTCTCGTTAAGAATTTCCTACTTTGACTTACACACATATTTAGAAAATAAATTTGATTTTACTGTAGAGTACACTGTTTCGACACTATTTTGCACTGTT